TATATATATATATATATATACTGTATATATATATATATACTGTATATATATATATATAATTTTAGGGATGCACGATATTATCAGCATGGTATCTGTATCTGCCGATATAACGTTAAATTTCAATATCGGACTTCGGCCATTCCATTAAAATAACTTTCCCATATAAAATACACAGTTTTTGCCTGCAGCGCAACACGATGACGTCACAGCATACCCAAATTCAAAATGACGGCGGTGTGGAAGTTTAATTTTTTGTTTGTGAGGATGTCGGATTCCGAAGATTTATGGACTACGTTGAGCCTCGCTACATCGTTCGCAGTCGGAGATATTTTTCCGACGTAACGTTACCCGAGTTACAAGCTGTCATTTCTGACATCATTCAGAAGCTAATAGCCGATAGCACAACTTGTTGGGTGAGTTTTACCACAGACATTTGGACGTCGTGTTAGCCCCGTTAGCATTAGTCTTACTGCACAATGGATACAGAAAAACGTTGAACTTTAAAAGTCTGTCCTTCATGCACAGGAGTGCAGAGGATCCCACACTGCAGCTAGGAACCTGGAACAAGCCTCCACAGGTGAGACAGCATCGTAGGTGATTAATGCTAATAAATAACATTTAACACTTTTCATTTAATATAAGTTAAAGCACTATGCATATCATATGGCTGTTACTGAATCTATGCCACCAGCTCTTACAGCTGTTGCACAATTTTTGTAGCAAATAAGCCTAAATAAGAGGGCTATGTTCTGGCAAAGGAACATATATAAAATATCGGTATCGGCATCGGTTATCAGCTGAATAAGTTTTAACATATCAGATATCGACCAAAAATCCAATATCGTGCATCCCTATTTAATATATATAATGTTCAACGAGGCTGTACATGTATATAAATGAAAAGATCCTGATTTACAGAGTGTTTGTAACTTTGTGCTGTTCTTGGTTGCTCAGGTTCAGCCATCAATAAAAACACTGGTATTTACCCAGTTTGATGAATTCATGTCTGTTCTCGTTCAGTTTAGATCTAAACTGACTCGAAGATTTAAAACTAGCATTTAGCTGTTCAGTATACACTTTAGTTTTATTAGCTGCAAAGTGCTCCAAGTTGTAGGGGCCTGAAGTTCTTTGAACTTTTATGAGGAAATCTGTTTTTAAAACTTTTATCATGTGAGTTGAGCCGTTTTCCTGTGAAGTGATTTAGGCCACTGGTTTCTTCCGCCCATCCTAGAAAATGAGGTTATTCTCCACTGTTGTTCCCTTGTTTTTTTCTGTGTCACACTGTGCTTGTAGCCTAGAACAGACAAAGCACATTGTTTTACTTCAGAGGAATGTGGAGCGCCACTGAAATATGTGAGAATTATGTTAATTATAAGAAAACATGAACTTGGAATGACTGGAGGGCTGTGTGTGATTGGCCCGGAGTGCCTCTGTTGTCATCCTCCGTGTCTATAGCTCACAGGCCGACAGACATGATGTAAGAAATGGTAACAATGTGATCATGTGTTCAAGTGGAGGACCGGGAAGTTTACTGGGACACCGTTGTCACGTCCAGAGTGGAGTCTGTGTGCGCTTCCAGGGGAGCTGGTTGTTTTGTTTCTTTTACAAACTTTAATTCCTGCTTTTATTTTTTTCTCATTCTTTCTTGTCACACTAACAAACTAGTTTTTTTGTTGTTGTTGTTGTTACTCACAAATGGGGACAAAAAAAAGATTAAATACATATATTTCACATTTTGTAATGTTGAAATAATCTGCACAGTATAACTTTAATTGTCGTACAACATTGATTTTAAAGCTAATCATATTGATAATTATTTAATTTGTGGCTTAATGTTTCTCTGCAGGGAGAACCAATCACGTTCTGTGAAGAAAGTTTTGTGAACCATCGCTCAAGCACCACGAAGAACTTCCTGTCCATGGCCGTCAACCTGCAGCTCTTTAAACAGGTACACGCACTTGTGTGTGTGTGTGGTGGTGGTGGTGGTGTGTGGGGGGGTGGTTTAAGAATAGAATATAATAGATTTATTGTCCCCTTGGAGAAATTTGTCATGGACTCAGGGATGTATATTGCATAGTAGCAGCTGCCCAAACAGACAATAAAACAGCTAAAATTCACTGAACCAGTGAATGGATTTTCCTGACACTTGGATTTAATTGCCTTTAATTTCATTTTATTTTTAAATTAATTTAATTGCCGAGTGTTTCAATTGTGCAGCATGTACTGATGTTACAGGCTGCAACCAGAAAACAAAAAAGACGGACACTTAGGTTTTCTAAATCCAATTCGGACACAAACAGGAAAACAAAATTCAGTCCTGTCATCGGTTATTGTCGAAAGGCAGATGTTTTGTGATATAGTCTCTGTATGTAAACTTTTTCCTCTCCTGTTGTCTCTTGTTGTATAATCTTTTCATTGCCCCAGCTCTAAGGTCAAGGTCATAAATCAAGGTCAAAGGTTATACATGGTCTTATGTACAGTAGTCCCTCACTACTTCGAGGTTCGACTTTCGCAGACTCACTCTTTCACGCTTTTTTAACGATTGTCAACTTAAATATTACTCACATGATTGGGACAGTATTGGATAAAAAGTTAACGAAAAAATACTTTGGACAGGCACAGCCATTTTGTAGTTTTCTTTCAATAAGCCTACACTGCAAGGCCTGTCAAAAGAACTACACTACCCAGAAGCCAACAGTGCTTCCAACCGCTGTGTTCTGCCAAAACGAAGGGAATGTTTTGCAAAACATATCTACGTTATCTATTAAACTCACAGAACTGGCAGGAGAGTCACAAATAATCCTGAAGCTCAATCCACGTGCACATCAACTTGGACGTGGGCGTCGTCGCTGCAGGGTAGGTCTGCTGAACTGGAACCAAGCCCGACCGAAACCGAGCTGCTGGTCTGCAGAGCTGATGAGTAAAATTTTGCAGCACTGTACACTACGTATGTCATTAAAATTAAATAGGTTTATAATTTAAGAACATTGCAAGAGTGTGGGAAGAGTTCATAAATCCTTAATATATATATTAAAACTATAATAAATATAGCGTTCCTACTTTGTGGTTTTTCACCTGTCGCGGGTGTGTGTGGAACGTAACCCCAGTGATAATCGCGGGACTACTGTATAGGTATAATGCGGTATCTTGTTTATTTGCTTCACATTTCTGATTGGTAGTAAAAAAATGGACAGTGTCTCTCACTTCCTCCTGTTGCTCAGCAAACTGTCAGCTGGTCGGGGTTAACATTAAGAGTCTTGACAGTTCAGTTATTCGCAGTGAGGAGGAATGTCGAAGAGCAAAGCCTGGGATTATAGACGGTTAGTGACCCTTCCAGACAGTTTACTGTGCTTATCTAAATGCCAGTTTTAATTCCGTTCTGTTTACTTAATTTTATAAACAGTAAAAACAAAACTGTGATAAGTTAAGGCTGCTGACCGCATGAGACCGAGTCGAGTTTGATTTCTGCCCTCAACATGTCAAAGTAAAAAATAAAAACTAGGTAGAAATTTCACCTGCTTCTCAGAAAGGTGTCACTAATAGAATCTTTGATATGTTTATTTATGTGGATCGTTTGTGTATGAGCAGGTATGCTTTATTCATGTGTGGTTTCACTTACAAACAACACTCATGTATAGTTAATGTTTTTCCCCTTAGTCTCTTCTGTAACGCCAAAGTTAGTAGAGCCAGAGTGAGAGGAACGACACCTCTGGCTCCAAAGAATATTCTCCTTTCTCTCTTCTTTCCATCCCCATTTGTGCTCTCTGACCCATGATAGTTGTGTGATTTACCCCTGAGAGTACAGCAGAGCGGCCCTCAATCAGCCTTTTGTGTCTCTGGACACCCTCTCCATAATTTTCCCAGGCAGAGCAGATAGCGAGCGTTCAAAGTGTCCTCCCGGCCGGCTCCCTCCGCAGCAGTAGCATTGGGAAACGGGCCCTTATCACCTCCTCCTCCCCAGCTCGGGGAATGGGGTGAGCTTATCTCCTCCACTCCCATTCCTGTTAAAGTGAGCTGGGCCAGTGGTTAGCCCGAGTGCTGCTCTGACCATGACCCATATCCACTCCCAAACACACAAGCAGTACTCTGCTTGCATGGCCACACACATGCGCACATTAATTTTATTTTATGCTCCACTCTGAAGATGTTCTTCTACTCCTTTTACTAAATATTTTTATAACAAATTTTACCCTTCACTATATTCTCTCTCGCCCTCCTTCAGGCTGTAGGTCCCACTCCTTTCTGAGCACGATCAGCCACATGGATTCTTCTTCATTTTGCTCTGTTTCGTGTATCGTCTGTTGTGAGATGGTGTCTTCACATCCTGCTGGATCATATCCATCCACCCCTTCTTCTGCCGTCCCCTGCTTCATTGACCGAAAACGTCTGCGTTTAATAGCCGTTTTACCTTGTCACCTTCCATTCGCTGCACATGCCCATACTATCTCGTTCTTGATTCTTGTAACTTCACTGTGCCACGCCAAGCATTTTTCTAATATTGTTATTTCGCTGTCTATCCTTGAGGGATACTCCAAGAATCCAAGCATTCATTCATTTCTGTCCTTTCCAGGTGTTCCACTTCCTTTCTCTTTAAAGTCTATACCTCAGTTCCACAAAAGCAAGACTGGGCACACCATCATTTTGTACACTTTCCCTCTAATGTGAATCGGCATCCTTTTGTCATAAAGCACTCCTGTCAGTTCCTTCCATTTCCAATTCTTCATTTAACGTTTTCTTCACATTTATCACCAACCCCAGATACTTGAACGTTTTGACCTGCTTCAGTACATTTCCTCTATTATCAGGAATTGTTAAGGTCTCATTAGCTTACGAGCAGACCATAGTCTGTTTTTTGCTGCGTTTATTTTCAGACATTTACTCTCAATTGCCTTCTGCCACCATCTGAAACTATCTTGGAGATTAGCTTCAGTATCTCCAGCCCCAACTAGGTCATCTGCATACAACATGTCCCACGGCACTTTTCTCCAATAAGCTCAGTAACTTCGTCCATCACAACAATAAACAGTGGGCTGAGACATGAACCCTGATGAACGCCAACTTTAATCTCTAATGCTGTCGTGTTGCCTTTTCCAGTTCTGACTGTTGTTTTAACACCGTCATACATGGAACTAACAATCCAAACTTTACCCTTCACTTTATTATTGTATCTTAAATCAGCTTACAGACACACAACTTGTCTTAAAGACGTGTGAGAAGTATGTTTTTGTGGTATTTCCACCAATGATAAAAATATGGCAGTCTAAATTGCAAGCTGTAGTTGTTATTTAAAGAATCTTCCATAAGAATAGACTAGAATCCAAAAGTGTTGCATAGAGCTCCGGATTATCTTGGTTTTAAACTCGTATTTACACATTATTTTCCCTATTTGTTTTCCTGTTTTTCCAGCTGAAGGAAACAGTTTATTATTTATTTCCCAGTAGGTTTGCTCACAGAGGGGACTCTGAGGGCATCAGAGCTGCTGTTTTTGTACTTAGTTAAAATAAGCAAGTAGGTTTGGTTGCTCACCTATCAGCGTTTTATCGAAAATTATTTGAGTCTCCCAATAAAACAATATGCTACAAATGTACTACTGTGTACTATATTATTTAATAATCTGCGGTGAAAGTGTGACATGTTCCTTGTTTAAACTTTAAATTGAAACGATTCTTGAATTTAGCTGACCTCAGTGCACGCTAAACACAGATTGAGCAACACGTGCATCGTTGTATAAAGTGTGACCTGAACCAGAGGTGTTAACTGTGTTCCTGCAGGAAATTGCTTCTCTGCATGAACTTTATTGATTGATTCCCTTTAAATGACCTGTTTTGTTCTGTTGTCAGCCTCAAGTAACGGTCTCATAATTCAAGCAGCGTGGAGTCATTTATAAGTCTGCATCATATTACGACCCATTTACAGATAATATTGCCCTGTGGACTGAAAGATTACTCTGTGATTAATTTCTAGTATTTTCTAGGGGAGTAATGTTCAACTGAATTTATTTTAACCGATTAGGCCTTCATTTATGTTTTAATGAACATTTGCGTTGTTTCAGTTCGTTAATTTATGAGGACAAAATGTATTTTAGAGGTGTGTTTAAGAAACCAAAAGCAGACATAAATAATTGCATCTTATTCCACCGTGAGTGAGAGCCATTAAAGTAATCCTAAAATAAACATGCTAAGGCCGCACGCTTCTTAAAATGTCACATTTTCAACTTCTTACATTCACGTTTTCTTTTCCTTCTTTCCACTTGGTCAAGCAGCCCATCTTTGTTCAGAGCGGAACAAGTGGGAGAAATGTTCAGAAAGAATGCGGGGGAACATCTGTCAACATTAACCTGCTTCCTATCAACCATCTTCAGCTCCTGCAGTCTCCGAGACTCGCGAGCAAACACTCACATCGTCCTGTTTTTATCATCTCAGCAGACGGAAGGAAGGAGCTTTGATTCTGAAGGGGGTCTTGTACCTGAATGATTTACTGCCAGAAATTATCTGAATGTTTATTTATTCACTTTAAGTGTCAACGATCAGAAATGGCTGCTTTACTTCAACAGGAATCTACAAACTTTACAATCAATGAAGCCATTTTTGCCACAAAATCAAATTTAACTAAATATATTGTGGGTGAATTATTGGGTGAAATAAAGATAATATATTATCTTATTATTATTTATTAACTATAAAAAGCCTATAGTTTAATTATAAAATTAAGGATTTATCATAAATTATTGGCGATGTCTGTGTTCGAACAAAGGAAAAGAACAAGTTATTGTGTAAAAGTGAAACATTTGTCTCGTTTACACCTCCTTTAATAACATTTATTCATTGAATATGCAAGATTTGAACCTTTCTATATTGTGGAGGATTACTCATATCACACTTCAAAATAGCAAATCTTAAAGGATTTTCTGGTCCGATACGATACCGGGTAAAATTCGTGCGGGTATCGATGCCAATACTGATACTTTTTTGCAAATACGCCTAATGTGTCAGGTAAACCTAAAAAAAAAATCTGTGTGTTCACATCAAAGTTGCATAAAGAATGCAAGACAAAGTAATTTATTTAATTAAACTCAGGAGTATGTTGATGCAGTGGCCTCATTTAGTCTGAGCTTATAAAACAAACAGGACATCATACAAAATATGTGAAAATGTTTTTTCAAACAATAAAAAGAAAAATCATAAAGCTATTAAAATAAATTATTAAATATCTATTAAATAATGAGATATGTTTAAGATAATGTTATATTTTTATCCACATTTTTGTAGTATATATTTTTCAGAGTTCACTAAGGCTGTTTTATTTCCATTGCTCTGTATAATTTGATGACACCTGGTCCATGTAATCCACTTTAAATGATCTATTCTTTATAAAACCTTACCTGAATAAATCTAGGCTTTTTTGCCCATGTGAGATTATCTCAGTGATACATATTATTACTCCAAACTGAACTCATGCAACTATTTATTGAAGCATGAATTTATTTTGTTAATTATCTCATAACCATGTGTATTAATTTGAACAACTCCAACTGCAGCAGTTCTTAGCACTGCTAAAGCTCCACAGTTCCTCCCTCTGTACCTGGATAGTCCTGCAGCCCTGAGGGACTCCTCCAGAGCAGCAGCACCTGACTCTGCTCCTCTGTCCACCTCATCAACGCTTCATATTCTGTGTTGTGATTTAACAGGAAGTGTTTTACAAGGTTTGTTGTGTTGCTACAGCTCTTTACAGATTTTCCACAAACCTCACAAACCACTTCTTGGCTGTTTCTGGAGTTGAAATAACTCCACACATGACTCTGTTAAACTCTGCCACTGTGTCTACAGACTGAGACTGACGAGCAGCGTGCCGCTCCGCTGAAACGCATTACGCATTTACTCAGGTGGAAGAAAAAGTAGTTCCCTAGGTGTATCATTTAGACAATATCTCAATAGTTTAGTTACTTTCCACCATCTTCCTGTTAATGATATGCATTACCTGAAATTACTTAAGTATCAAAACTATCAATAGTTTGATTTAAACATCGATTCTAGAGTGAAACGTTCTGGCATAGATAGTATCGATATTTCAGTATCGATCCGCACATCACTAATTTCTACAGAACACTCCAGCATAAATGACAATTATGACAAAAATTATTCTTGATTTCCATCATTTTTATTAAAACTATAAAGAGCCACTGCAAGAACCATTACTGTAATTTCCAGACTGTTGAACACACCTGAATATAAGCCACGCCCACAAAAAAATTGTACATATATATATATAGGCCGCACTTGTCCGCTACTGAGAGACATGTGCAGCTCTTGTTGCAGATCAAGAATCAACCACCAGATGGCGTGTTGTACATTATTTTACTGTTCAGTAAACAAAGACTGAGTGAATCCCACAGGTCTTCATGACAACTACCTCCCTCACTCATGGATTATTACACATTATTACACACTGGATTATTGAGCATGCATCAGGATATCCCTCACTCATGGTTACTCTACTGAATGGCCGAACACTAACTAACACATAATGAACATAAACTAGGCTAACAAGAACAGACTAATCACTAAAAGAGCATGCTAACCAGCTAACTGAAATGATTAACATTGAACATAAATTCTACCCATAATTCCTCCCTGAGGCAAAGTGACCGACTGAAGTTTCCCACCCTCCCCAGTGGACCAATGAAAACAAGTTTCACTGGTCCTCTGTGACCTGTTGGGTAATTTCATTGGTCAGATTTTTTTTAACCTTCATTTTTTACAGGAAGTCTCATTGAGTCACGAGGACCCACCCTCCAAGAGAGACGTGTATTGGGCAGCTATGAGCGCCGGGGTGTGAAGAGGCTAAATGTTTTTGTGGCATGAAGCTTGTTAGCCCATCAAAACAAAAAAATCCATAAATTAGCTGCAGCATTGTTCAAAGCGTATGAAAAAAGTAGCGCCTTATAGTTGGGAAATTACGGTAAATGTTTAATCAATTATACAAAGTCTTCATAACTAATCACAAATAATGCATCTGTTCCAAATAGCTGCAGATGAAAATATTGGAAATGATGTAATTTATTTAAAAAATTGTAATAAATATCCTGACAGTTTAGCCTATAGAGTATATTTCTGTATATGTTTTACTTGATTGACATGCCTCCCAGAATATTAATCATGGCAGCATTTCCTCTGGCTTCCCTTCGTCTCCCACATTTGGCTCCACATGTGGGGATTCTTCGAATATAAGAAAAATATATATATCCGAGTTTGTATCTCTGTAAATGAACCCCGGTTAATTCCTAACCCAGTTTCTGGATAAAGGAATTCAAAATGTAAACAAAACAGGACCATGGTGGCTGACTTGTGTATGGGTTAGCACGCTGCAGCAACCAATTAGGACAAAATGAAATGGTTTTTAATTAACTTAATTTTGTCTTGATAAAGATGACCCCATTTTGTATGTTTTTTTTTATGTTTTTTCTCTTAAAAGACAAAATGAGCCCTTGCCTTCATGTGTATGTGCCAGTAGGTGTGCAGATGTAGCAGCTTGTTGGTTTTTTTATGTGTAGTTTGCATGTTTGCGATCACAGTCTGCCATTCCTGAGTAATGTCCAATTAAAGCCCCACAGTGAGGCAGGTAATCTGGCTGGGGTTTGAGTGGGGGGTGTTTAAGTGGAGGCTTGGGCGAGGTGATGATTTGGGTTGATTATCTTCGCTAATTGGGCCAGCCATGTAGCCGAGCGGTGGATGGAAGCCGCGGTCTCACCTCTCATTAAAATGATCTAATGATGAGTTTTCCAGCTCTCCTGACCAGAGGAGCGGGTAGCCGTGTCGGTCGCTAGTTAGCAGGCTGTCCCTGAGGACACGCACCCCAGAACAGCCGGTACTGGTGTTACTGTGGACGCAGATACACGGGGGGCGAGAAGGGTTGTTACAGGGAAAACACTAATCAACAAAGTGTTGCATTCAAGTTTTTGTTTATAATTTAATAAAATCTAAAATGAGGGTTTAAAAGTTGGAGGCGCTAATCACTAATGACTAAAATTATCAGTCAAATAAATGTTTTTTTATTATATATTTTATTTACACCCTTTTATTAAACAACTGAACAGTGTTATGTGCTATTTCTCCTTTATTTTAGTAGAAAATGTTTTATCGTAAGGTTGAAAACCATTCGATTATCAGATTTGTTTAACGTCAAAGGGAATCTTTTGGTGTGTTTGAGGGCTTTGTCAATAAAACGGTTCAGTGGGTGTTTGAAAGAAGTCACCCAAGTTCAAATGTCGCAGGTTTGTGCGTTTCTAATTAAATCAGTTTCAGACATTTGATTATTAAATGTGATTAGCGTACAGAGCTAAGCAGTCTCAGCAACTTGTGCTTTTTGTGGTTGGGATCAGTTAGATGGAGAAAGTGCATTGTTGTTTTAACAAACCTGAAAGATTCTTTATTTTGAAATGTTTCTGAACATCAGTCCAGAACTATTTTTGCATTTTAGACTTGTTTCAGAAAATACTTTTTTATTTTCATCTAGCTATGACTCGAGCAACAACTGGGGAAAACTAAATTCTTTATCAAAGTTTGTTTGTTCTTTTGTGTTTTTGTCAGTTTTTGCTCTGATTGTGCTTGAAAAATAACAACAACTGAGTCAAGCACAGGAAAGTGGTAATTTTTCAAAATAAAATACCCTGCAGGCCATTGTATATCAAAATATTTAGATATAATTTTTAATTATTTAAATAAATGTTATGTTTATTTCTGTGCGATCCTGTAGCAAATGACCAGCACCAGGCTTTGGTCGGGTGGTTGGGGACCACTTTTTCAGAAATATTTATTTATTTTGTTAAAGCACTTTATTTATAGAGCACTTAAAACAGGAACAAGACCAACCTAAGTGCTGAGTTAATTATAATTCACTATTATGGTTAATTTAGTTAATCATTTAATGTATTATTGACTTAAGACCATAAACTGCACAGATTAAGGGTACCAGTCCCTTTTCAGGGATAAAAATGCATTTAAAAAAAGCTGTGTTTGTAACTGATATAAATATTACATCCTTTTTTTTTCTGCTTGAAATTTATTCTAGCTTTGATTTGATCAGATTCCCTTTAAAAAAAAACTAACTTTTATGTCTTTTTACCTGAATAGTACAGTTATTCTGTTCCATAAATCATTAACTTGTGTTCTTTTTTTTTATTGTTTGTGTTTGCTGATGCTTGAAAATCATATTGATGTGTTTTTGTCACTGTGCTCATGAAACGTGCTGCCGTCTTGGCCATTAAGTCTGTATTTATGGCGTGGAGTTTTATGCGCTGCATGTTACAAAAGAGAGGAAATGAAACTTCCTCATGTCTCCGACAGCGTGAAGAAAGTAGTCTGCTGCTCTAATCCCTCACCTGCTCCCTATTAACAAATCCCTCCTAATCTTAGCTTTAAGTTTCAGTCACATAGGATTAATATACCCCCCCTGCGGTTGAAGTGTTTGAATTTGTGTATGTGATTGTGTTCAGCCCCCGCCTCCCTCCTCCTGCAGACTTTAATAAGCATCTTGTAATTTATGGTTGCAGTTCATCGATGGACGGCTGGCCAAATTGAACGCAGGCCGCGGCTTCACCGACGTGTTTGAAAAAGAGATCACAGACGGGGGCTTCTGTAGAAGTGAGTACCGACTTCTCTGAAGTATAGTCTTAAAGGTTAAAGCACCAATTCTGACTAAATGACTGAGTGAGAGCTTGAAAACTGGCTGCATTTCTTTAAAAACTGACAATATTAAGAAGTGAAATGACAGTGAATATGTGTCTTATTTTGAAAATTACAAGTTAAATGTTATCCTTTGAGCTTTCTGTTTGAGTCAGACTTTTCCGCACTAAAACTACAGATAAGATAAATATGTGTAGAAAAGGAGAGAGCGTCATGTTTTACTACTGAACGTCCTTCAAAAAGAGCCTTGAGATAAATTAATCAACCTACCACTTTGAGCCCCCTTTTGCTTCATGTATGCCAGTATTTAGCTCTGTGGGGCGTCACGGTGGTGTAGTGGCTGGATCTGCTCACCATAAATAGAGCGGGTTCAGAACCTAGCTGCAGCCTTTTTGTGTGGAGTTTCATGCATGTCTGTGCATTTGTGGGTTTTCTCCCACAGACCAAAATCAAGCATTTAAGGTTATAGGAAACCGTCACTAAGTGTGAGTGACAGCTCGAATGGTTTCTGTCTTGTTGTGGTATGGCTCTGGGCTGAGAGGTGACCTGTCCATGGCGTACCCCGCCTTTAGATCACTGGAGATGAGTATGCACTCTGCGACCCTGCATGCAAACGTGGTAAAGAAAACTGATTGATGGACAAGCAGCCACTGTGGTTGTAATATTTTAATTCTACAACTCATGTTTTAAGGATTCAAGGTTCTTGATTGTCATTTGCTCCTCATGTGGTACATGAGGTGTAACCAAATTGTGTACACAGGGTCCCAGTTACATCCAACAACAGCAAAATGATGCTTGAACAGAAAGTTTCAGCCTGTGTGAATTACTCTTAGGGTGCATTCACACCAGCCCTGTTTAGTCCGCTTTAATCGAACTCTAGTCCGTTTGCCTAGAAATTCTGGTTCGTTTGGGCAGGTGTGAATGTGCAATCGAACTCTGATGCGGACCAAAAAAGCAAACTCTGGTCCGCCTAAATACCTAGGTCTTGGTTCGGTTGAAGTGAACACTGGCGTGGTTCGATTGCATTATGAATGCAAGTGGACCGGAGACTGCTCCAAAAGCAGGAAGTGGACTACAGCGCAGGGCATTCTGGGTAAATCCAACCAAAACAAACGTGCATTTCTCATACCTCATACGGAGCAATCAGCTGCCTTGTGTGAAAAACAACACTCTCCATGGTCTTCTGCCTCATCTTCCGCTCATGTTGAGTCCATTGTTGAAAAAAAAAAACCAGACAAAACAGAAATCCTAAAACTGCTAAAATTTGATGCCACTCCGTTATAGTTTTGATTTCCAGAAGTAAGTTGAGCTCAGTGTCTTCTTCAGAAGTTTTCGTGTCGTTTCCTTCAGTAGTTCTTGGTGCAGCTCCACCACAGGCGAGGGGGGGGGACAGGTTGGCTCGATTGACTCTGTGCAGTGTGAATGCGAACCGCACCAGCTGAAAATGAAAACAAATGTTCTGAATTTTGGTCCCCCAGTCGAACCGAGTCTACCAGGTGTGAAAATGACCTTAAATTAAAACTAAGTAAATCCTTCTCGGTTTCTAAAACCTTATATACCACGTCAGTCTTCTGATACTTTGAAATATGAATTTATTTCCCAAATTTAGCATTTTTCTGCCTCATATTTTGCTCAAATGTATTACTCAGTAATATGTTTTGTTTCTCTCTGGATATGAAATTGTGTCCCACTGAGATTATATTTCTGCATCATCATGACAACACGGGGCTACTGAGTCCAAAATGATTAATTCATATCTTCTTTCTTTCTCGCATCCCTTCAGGTAATTCAAGGTCGTACCAGCAGTGGCTGAAGGTATTTACTGAAAGTCCTTCTTGTTGTACCCAAAAGATTTTATCAGTTGTTTTATTCATTTTATTCCTGAGTTATATTTAATTGAAGGTGTGATTGACACAGCTCAGTGTTTGAAGTCTCGCCTTTGGAACGAAGGGGTTGCCTGGATGTACGGATCCAGCTTGTGCAGTGTGTGTGTGTGTGTGTGTGTGTGTGTGTGTGTGTGTGTGTGTAGCAGCGCGTGCAGCAGGACAGTGGATACAGACAGGAAGGAAGACAGAAGTGATTTGACGTGACAAGACGTCCTTCGACATGACATGTTGATCTGGCAGCAAACGCAGGCGTTACTCCGCTGAACCAACCCAAGAACATACATCTCTTCTTCCTTCATCTCTTTCGGGCTCTACCCTCCTTTCCTTTTCCTTCCCGTATCTTTCTGTCTTTATCTCTCCCCATCTTTTCATCTCCGTCACCCCTCCCCTTATTCCTCCCTCGCCCTCCCCGTCTCCCCACGCCGTCAGCTAAGGCTGAATTAGTTCTCAAGAGTGATCTTCAAAGGTTTGGTAAAGTTCACATTTCCTGACTGACAGGGATCTATAAGGGAGGCCTTCACCTCGGCCCTTCTCCTCCTCTCTCTCTGCCAACTTCTGAAACGCTGCCTGCCATTTACTCCGTTTCGCCGTTTAGTCGACGTTTTGTGCTTACACTAAAGACCAAACAGAGAGACGGCAAAGGAAAGAAACAGCAACTCAGAAAGGAAAGAAGAAAGGCTCAGAGAGAGGGAAGTTGGTTATCATAATGTCAGTCGGCTAATCTCAATGAATTAATCTCATGCGGTCCCTTCCATCGCATTTTTAGGCTTCAATTAAAAAAACACCTGAATGCTGTGAAATGCTTAATTTACCTCAGAGCAGTGAAAGACTTTATCCTCCATCAGCACCATGTTCTGCTGTTGTTACTGACAGATGCAAAGGTTTGGATGGATTTTGAAGATTACCCGATTTCTTGGATTATAATAGTTGAGACAATTTTAGGAATACAATAGTCCCTCATTTATCGTGGGAATTTGGGACCACGCCCCCCGCGATAAGTGGAAAAACGCGACGTAGGGCTACAGTAGTCCAAGTTCAATTAAACTTTGAAATTATGTATGCAAGTAGTAGTAGTAGTAAGTAGTAGTTTAATTTAGTATTTACTGTAGTGGTAAGTAGAAGTTTAATTTAGTATTTACTGTAGTAGTAAGTAGAAGTTTAATTTAGTATTTACTGTAGTGGTAAGTAGAAGTTTAATTTAACATTTACTGTAGTAGTAAGTAGTAGTTTAATTTAGTATTTACTGTAGTAGTAAGTAGAAGTTAATTTAGTATTTACTTTAGTGGTAAGTAGTAGTTTATTTTAGTGTTTACTGTAGTAGTAAGTAGTAGTTTATTTAGCATTTACTGTAGTAGTAAGTAATAGTTTAATTTAGTATTTACTGTAGTAGTAAGTAGTAGTTTATTTAGTATTTACTGTAGTAATAAGTAGTAATTTATCTTAGTAATTACTGTAGTAGTAGGTAGTAGTTTAATTTAGTATTTACTGTAGTAG